ACGATAACCCGATATCGCGAACGGTAAAATAAAAATTCTGCGGATTTTGTTCATGACAATACCAATGGTTCTTCAATGTTGTTCCAAATGCTTGAAATTCGATGGAAATAAAATATTAAACGTGTAAATAGCTCAATTTACAAGACACCGTTTTCCACGAATTCTTCGCTTAAATATCTCAATATATTCAGAGTTTCGGAATTATCGAAAGCTGGTTTTTCGGAATTATCGGGAACTCCAATTTGGAAACTTTAATTTACTTTTAATTAAAAAACCAATGGGAAGGAAGATAAACAAAGATACGTGGTATCTCGCAGTTTCTTCAGTTTAAAATCCCCAGTGTCTTTAGTTTAAATGTAAACATCGACTTAAAAAGCGGTAATACAGTTTGGAAAAAATCGTAGCGGAATGAAGGATACGAAGGAAGTTCAAAGTTCTCGTGCGTTACCTTTCTTAAACGCAATGCCGGTTGATTTTGTTTTTCCTACGGTAGAACCGAACGATATCGCGAAATATGACGAGCCATTGTTTCGGACGAAATAAAACACGTCGTTTATTGCTAGTACGACATAAATATAAATCCTGCATGGTTATTTCGGGAAAAGGAAGGTAGAAGAATCGAACGAGATCGCTGACTTCCCGACCGTGCAATTTCTATGGCATGTGAAATAACACAGGTGTTCAGCTTCCCATCGTTCCGCTTTAATGGCAGAGGTATTAAAGCTATTAATAACATGGCTAAGTGGTGCGTTTCTCTTCCAGCCATGGACGATCTATGTGCCACTAAAGGTTAACAGGCAAGCAACTATTTCACCCTGCCAGTTACCTTTTTTTCCTCCTGAGACCTGCACACGCGACGATTGGCTATCTAATGCTACGATGTTAACCTCCCCAAGCTACCTTTTAACACAGAGTTTCCACGATAGTGGGCTGTTCTTTGAAACGTTACGTTCGAGACAGAGAGAGTTTTCACGATTGAAATTTATAATTTAAGAACGCAAAAAAAGCAGAATACTACGAATTATTCTAGAATAGAGAAAACTATTCTACATCTAGAATGATTACCTTGCAAGTATTTTAATTATTTTTATATAAGTATTAGGTTGTCCGGAAAGTATCTTTCTTTCGCAAACGTGTTTTTTACAACAGTGCAGCTTCGTATAAACGTGAAACCAACTCTATTGCGGTGTTTATCTCAACGGAACAAAATGGATCGTACGTGATTCGACGAAATAATATAAAACAAAATACATTGTGCGTCTATTAATTTCTCATAAAGCGAAAGGAACTTTACGAACGAGCTAATATATAGCCGCGCGTAAAAACTTTCTATGTATAGAGTATACAAAACATTTTGAAAATTCATTAGCACCGCAACGAGACACGACCGTCGTAATTATATAGACGTTACAGGACATTTATTGCAGTTACATTAGGTTGTCCAAATAGTTTCTTTCGTCTTACGAGGAAATAATACACAACGTATTTGTTTTATATTATTTTGTCGAATTCCGCACCACCCATTTTGTTCTCTTGAAATAAACACCGTGACATTTCACAGACTCGGTTTCACGTTTGTACGAAGACACTTTTCGGTCAATCTAATAGATACACTTCGCAAAGATCATCAGAGCATTCGAAGAGTCAATTATTCGCAATACTAATAAGCCACAATATACGGTAACGTCATCTATATATTTTTCACTCGTAGGCGTATCATTGCAGTGAATGTCTTGTAACTTCTATATATATTTTCGGATTCAAACTTTTACTATTATAACCACGATAGTCGTGTCTCGTTACAGTGCTAACGAAATTTCAAAGTGTTTCGTACACTGCGCGTAATATATTCATAAAAAAGTTCCATGGCAAGTGTTCGAATGCTCTCGTGCGCCGCGCTAAAATTTTCAAACATTGGTAGACCAGCATAGAACGAAGGGAAAATCGACGAAGAATACTTAGTCCTTAAACCCTTAGAGTGCTGAATACTCGCGGCCTATGCGGTCTCGCGACCAGCGCTGACGAGCGCTGTGGACGGAGTACTTTTTCGCTAGACTGGACTCTGTCGATTGACTATTCAAAGCGTAAATCGTAATAAGTTATAGTAATTTTTTTGTCACGAGAATTAAATGTTTCAAGAGCGTTATTTTTTAGTATTAATTATTTATTATAAACATTGAAATTTACGATAAACTGGAATTTGGGTAATAAACTAGAAAACAATAAACTAGAAAACTAAATTTACTAAGTATAACACAAGTTAGTAATTCAGTTGTGTGTGAGAAATTTCAAAACAATTATCGATACATAATCCGACATCGCATTTTCTGCATTCGTATCGCTCCATCTCTTATTTTTCACACAAACAACGCATTTTCTTCTTGATAATCGTGTTGTGCCGGCACGATTAAGGTATTTTAATGGAAAATGCCTATCGATTAAACGAAATGGTAAATCCTCGGACTTTCCCTTTCCTCCTCCTACCATGCTTCTGCGGTGGAAATATTTTCGTAAAATGTCTCTTATCAACGCTAAATAAAATTCACTAAATTTGTTTCGAAGCAGTAGATTTTTGATATAAAATATATGCATTATATATAAGGAATGCATTTATATTTATCTCGTACAAACGTAATAGTATTACTTCTGCGTAGGTGTTGGGAAAAATTGACAAACGCATATATGCGTCCCCAGTTCATGCCGGATACTTACAGAAAACGCATATATGTGTCCTTAGTCCACACCGATAGCTTTCGCCAGACGCATATATACGCGTCCATAGCACTCTAAGGGTTAAATTTCACGAATTCCTGTCACGACTAAAAAAATAGATTCCCTTGACGAAACATCTTCTTTTAAGTAAGAAAAGTAGATAACGAAAGCAAGTTTCGTTACGTTATTTGAAAATTCGAAATCGATTTTCATAAAACAGAAATATCCAACGCGGTTGTTTCTCTGGCTTCCCATTCAAATTTCTCCATCATCGAACGTTAATTGGAGAGTGAGCCGAACAGACGCCTGCGGGAATGCGTTGTTCTCTGTGACCAGTGAGAATATATTAATGAGATTGCGTGATGCAATAAGCGGTAATAGCTAGCGGCTGAAAGGAGGAAAGTAGGAAGAAGCTAAAAAGGGCTAGCCATTATTCGTTTAGCCGGTAATCCCTCGGGGGACGTGACGACGTTTGCAAAGGGAGAAATGGTTCCGAAACATCCGTCACGCTGTCAGCGCGTGTCGCGGTGACAGACAACCGGCCGACTGCTTTGTTACTTTATTAAGAATTGTCGTTTCCTCGAGAATACGCGATGACTCCTTTATGAAATTTCAACACGTTTCGTTCGTCCGGAGATGTTCTCTGTATTTGTTTGTTCGGTTTTTACGAACGCCAGGCAGCAAGTATAACGAAGGGAAATGTAATCGAATTAACTTGCGTGAGTTTGGCTAGTTGACTGATTGTTTCGTATAACAGTTGCGGAATTAGGAGAAGCACGGAATTATGGAGCGGGTTAACCGGATGATAAAATAATTCTATCGTCGATTGACAAATTTAACTCGAGCATTCAGAGCAAGGTATAACGTACTTTTATAAAACATAAAAGAAAGAACAACTATTTCGGCAAATAAAAATAGATTTTCCTATATTTCTGCGTCGCTTCTTTCCTTTATAATCCGATTTGTGATAGCTACGAAGAAACCTACTGTTGTTGCAAATACCTTGATATAACAGTTTCTTTTATCTAAAAACGTAGAAAATTCCACCAATTTGCTCAGCATCGAATCGACGACGCAAGCGTAAGATTTACATCTACGAAATTAAGTGGAACAACGTGTAGAGAAATGTTACTCCTGGAAACGTTCTTTCTCATCGCACCGAACGTTCCGTAAGAAAGTTACTTCAAATATATTTCATTTAACGTTCCTCAAAACACCGTGCCCCCAAGGACTCGGTCAGAAAACAAAGCCGAAGCTCGACTCGGCGATCGAGTCAAGGGACCGAGAACGCCGACGAAGATCCTCCGCGAGTCTATATGTGAGAATCGAAAGAAACTACGTGGCTCGTTCGTAATTCACGGAGCATAGAGGAAAGAATTTTCACGAGAGACCGAACGTACCTTCGTTGCAACGATGTTTGTGCACCGGTGGAACGAATCGCCACGGATATGTCCAATGAAATTATACGGCTCGCCTCGGGACCGCTTTGTACACGTATCCGATAAGGAACTACGTATTCCGTCTTTTCCTTGGATCGTAAGATAAATACACGAAGTAAAGGAATGGCAAACGAGCCTTAATGGTCTGGAGCGTGGATCTTTGTTACACGTTCTAGATATCTTGGTCGCGCTCCTCCTGGAGTTTCCTCCTGGAGTGCATCGTCTCGAAAGATGCATTGTCGAGGTTGTAGCCCCGACGGGCCATTAGTGCGACGCGTACAACTGCCAGTCTCTGCATTATTAGCGACTAAATAGCGGGCGTAGTCCATGCGAATACGTAATTTCGAAACGGCATTGTTTTGCCCCTACCGAAAACGAAACTCGTTATCCGCGGACGAGCGAGCCATCCTCTGTCACTCGTGTCTCCTGTGGCTTTTTGTCCGGGTTCTTCTCCTGAAAAGCGCTCAACGTTTGCCATTTGTTAACGTTAATCGACGCTTTTCTATCGTTACACGCAAGTCGGATGTATCGTTGTATTAACACGTTCGCTACGGATCCGATTTTCATCTCCTATGATGCTGCGCTAACAAATAATTTTCATACGATACCTGTCTTTATATTACGAAATATACGTATGCGTTTAATATGAATGTGTCGAGTGCGATTAAACGTGTTGGTGTATATAGTGACGAGACGAGTTGATACTCGGTGCAGTCAAATGTATTTAACCCTTTAACCTACAACGACGGGGGTAGCCCGTAGTACGACGAATGGGCCAAATATAATATAATATAATATAATATACACCAGTTGGTAACTGGTGGTACAAGCGGAAAGGGGGTGATTACTTTAACCAACAACACGTCTCGCCGGCCACTACAATCTAAATAATCCAGTTTGCGTACCGCTGGCGCGTTATTTAAATAATAATAATTGAAATAATTCGTCGGCGACGTCTGTTCAACATCGTTCACTTTACATAGCAAGAAATCAGGTTCGCATAGGTATGTTGAATATCATGACCGCTAATCATTTGTGATAGATAGCTTTTACCCAACAATGAGGCAGAACACACGTGTTTGTTCGGTTATCGGTAAATACCTGTATATCTGTTTAGAGGAAGAGCATTAGAAATAGGAATAGAAAATCAGAAGTAGATTTCAATGAGAAATTGAAGACGCAATCGGTGAGAAAAAAATCTGGGATTGTGGGAAAATCTAAAAAATTTGTGTAAACTCATGTCTCGTAATTCATACTATTCGTATATAATCCATCCAAATGAATGTTTTAAAAAATTCCACACATTGCTCAATTATAATTAATATAAATATTGTAATCAAAATTATATTACTTCTGAGATGAATAAAGATTGTTTTCAATGACTTTAATATTATTATTTACGCGTCGTTGTAGCATTTAAAATCTGACACTTAAAAGCTTGCAAATCGAAGTATGACGAATATAAGTTGGAGTTGCCGGTTAATGTCAATTCTCTTAAACAAGAAACGTAGCAAAAAATCAATTTTAAAAATAGAGCGATACACCTATTAAAATTTATTAATTGGAAGAAGCATGATATATTTATATTTGACTTCTGCAATAATAAATACTAAGAAATATATTTTATTTTCTATTTTGTCGCTATATATTTTCTATCTAAGAAGGTAAGATAGTTTTCACAAGGTTTCACTTCTTTCACATTTTGTACGCTAGACTCTTTTCACGATGCTGATTAAATCCGCCGTCTTCGTTAAGGCAGCCAATTTAGAACCATATAATCAATACACAAAGAAGGATAAAGAATTTGCATGATAACGCCACTTAACTATGCTACGTGTAATCATAAAAGTCAGTCCACCCAGAAATAATGATACACCACATCGACCTTCTTCATCTTCTACGGAATAAAATAACTATAGCGAACGTACCTAAGGAATTCTCTTTTCCTAAGCCTTGCTCTTTCCTTTCTCTTCGTTTTCTTAAATAAACCAAGCTTCTTAATCTTAAATTTCAAGCGTGAAAATTAATTTTCATATATACTTTTTACTTATCAAATATACAAGCTATGTTACGTTTTAGAAAAATTTTTGTTTAAAGTTCAAATCGAAATCGTTGATACACGAACAGAACAGAAATTTGTTAAAGCGATATTCTCGTGTATTAAAGTCGCGCGAGAAATTTCATTCGATCGATATGGAAGATAAAATGATGTTTCAATAAATGATTTTCTTTAATAAAATAGAATATTTCAGGGATGAAATGTTTGTTTAAGCGTGCATATTTTAGCGGCTATATCGAATATTTATATCTCAATTTATAATAAAAAATGACAATCAATACCATTGTTTCTAGGTGAAGCAACCGAACGATGAAAATTATTACTTTGATATTAATATCAATATGGACGTTCAGAAATATAATACATAAAAAACTTCGTTCGAAGCTAAAATAATAAAATTGTTAGATTTTAATAACCTTTACTCGTGAAACAGAACTTTCTACGAAATGTTGTGTTAAAATTTATCGAATTTTGAAAATGTATTTGAATAAATCATTTTACCATACAGCATAGAATATTAAAACCAATTTTCCTCTACGATGTTTTTACCATTTATAAATTCACATCGAGAGGTACCGTTATGGAGCGACAACTGAATAATATAACTTGTTATTTTTTCATTCCAAAACGAAACAAAAGGATAGTTTTGATAGCAAGAGATTTCTTGATAACGTATCGAAGTTTGAAATTTCTATCTTACAAAAAAAAAAAAAAAAAACCAAAAACATATATAATCCCATCCTTCGCAGCTATATTCCTAATAATATAAATTTGCTGTAATTGATACGATATATAAATGCACTAAAAATAACAGAAACAACAATCCTATTTCTCTCTCTCTCTTTCTCTCTCTCTCTCTCTCTCTCTCTCTCTCTCTCTGTGTGTAAGTCTTTTAAGCAAATGGTCCCTAATGGTTCGCAAAGCAGACTGAAGCGTTTACAATGGCCGGTTGAGTGACAAGCGGTGGTTTCCGATTGGCGACCGCTCTCCGGCTGTTTATGCCGGTATTTCAAACAAACGTTATTACAAGCGTGAAACAGGTTCACGGCCGGACATGGATTACGATAGTATCAGAATTTTCGTGACGCGTTCAACCGGCAGACGTACGCGAATTTAGGGAGTTGTCGTTGCACGCGAAATATGTCCCCGGTCCTTTGTGAGTCGAGATAGGGTGAAAATGGCATTTAATGGATGACCGCCTGTCGAACTATTTGCATAAAGTGTAACACGTAGAATGCTTCGTGGCAACACCCTCTTTCGAAGTCGGCTCTTTCCAACGCTAATTTAACGCCCCTTCCCACGAGAACATACCAGGTTTTTGTTCGATATTGCACTTGTGTCGCGCGGTATGCGGTTCCCCACCCCTTTAACACGCGCCATTCTGTTCTTCTTCCCTCCCTTTTGTCGTTGAAAGGTGGCAGAACTGTTGCTGACAATGTTCCATGCTGCACGTGTAAATCCTCATGACACACGAGCGAATCACCTGCTGTTTTCCGGATCGAACATTTCCGGCTCAGCGTCGCTGCTTTCGGACGAAACACGCATGTTGTGACTCTGTTTCTTTTTCTTCTTTTGTACTAAATTCGTGCGGATGGAACAATGGCTTTTGTAAATACGTGAAATTATTCGGAATTCAGTGTTCAGTCCAGTTTAAACAACTGGAAACAAAGCTCTGAATAAATTCGAAGATATCGTACCTTTATCAAATTTTCCCTGTTCGTCGGGTACTTTTATAATCAACGAAACAGAGTTTCATTAATCTTGAATTTACTTTAGTATGTACAGTTTTGCCTGGAAATAAGCTTGCACTATCCCCTCTTCTTTCGTTCAACTTGCCGATAGAGCGAGAGATCCGAGAACGAGCAAGAATCCGTGAAAACGAAAAGCCAGACTTTTGCGGTTGAACAACGATACGGTTTAGTCGGAGAGAGAGTAGAATAGTTAAACACGTATAATACTTTGTCATTCTAATGTTGCTCGACCGATCACTTTTTGATTTTTTCGCTATTTTCAGCTTCTCGATCGTTTTCCGTGTTCTTCCTTGTCCTGTTCGAGGACCAAATCAAGTCAAAAAACAGCATATCTGACTCGTAACAAACGATATATAGCGTCCTCGGCGTGTTGCTTATTTGCAGACGAAACTGTATATTGTATACGTATAATTACATCTTATATTGTTGAAAATGACAACGTGAGTTCGTGCTCGCCATTCATACGCAGATACGTTAGTTATAAGAAATAGTAAATAGAGGATGATCCTAGTTACAATCGATAGATTTAATCGATAGGCTTAAGATGCCTTTTTGTTTTTATCCCCAGTTTTTGTAAGCGCGTGCAATAAAGGTTTTTTTGGGTCAGAACGGCGTGATAGATTTATCCATTCAATAAAATAATAATTATTCTGACCTTCTTACCTCTGAGTACAGAAATAACAACATATATGCTACAAATACTTTGAGTATACGTTTAAATTGTATATTGCAGTAGCTAAGAAAATTAACATATCTCTATTTACCGAAGATTACTGATATTCATGGCGAAAATATTCCAGAATTCTTTGAATTCTTGGGATACATCGAGAAACCTTCGAGATAGCTACGAGTGACGAATAAGTCTCGTACATTATTCCGAACTTTTAGGCGTTTGGAATATTCGGAATTCTTTGGAAACAAATATTTCGTGAACCTACCTTCTACATAGTCTCGGCAAGATTATTAGAGAAATAACGAAACTTAACTTCTTTCTCTGATTAATGAAAATAACATGATATATATTGCGCTATAATATAATACACTACGATTAAAGCGATAATTAAATCTTAATGATTTCTACTAAAAGTTGTAAATAATAAGTATTCTTGCTAATAATCGTTAGAGCACAGTAAGCATCAAACGAAAGGGAAATTACGATCTCGCACGAAGTTACGATGACGATAATTGAGTTGATGAATCGAACGATCGCTTGTCAGTTGCCAATTGCTAATCGTCAATGATATGACAAGCGCATCAGCTACAATCACGAAGCCAGCATTAATTCTAATCAGTTAGCCTTGGAAACAATCAGATATTCGATAATCAATCGATGATTGAGTCACTTATGCGTCAGTCCGTTGACACATTGAGAAATCAGATTGAACATTTAAAAAGTCAATCGATTGTTATACATATAATAATTCTATGAATAATATTTACCAACAATAATTCTGTCTAAAATATCTTAAAACGAACGTATTACCTGTTAACGCACTACGTGTAAATAATATCCTTCGTATAAAATATTCATAATGACAATCGACAAAATTGTAAATATAATCAAAGTTTAAAGCGATTTTCGATATCGAAAAATGTCTTTCTTTTACAGATACGTCTTTTACAACGACGCATCTTTATACAAACGTGAAACCTAATCTGTCGAACGTTGTGATCTTTATTTTGATAGAACAAAATGCTGATTCGATAAAAAAATATAAAACGGAAAATGTGCATCTGTAGAGGATGGTTGGTCGTGTGGTTTAAATGACGAGATAACTCGATGTCGAAACCGTCAAATATATTAAAAATAATTAATAAATACAGAGAATGTTCGCTAAGACGCTCGGTACTGACTGATTCGCTAAAGACTGTGTATTGATCGCTAATAAAATCGCTCGAGACGCAAACTGAAAAAATGATTACCTTACGATCGCGTTCGTTTATTTATACTGGCCCGGAGTTTATTTATTATTACATTATGTATGTCCTAACGATGTTGATACTCCGAGACAAAACAAGAAGACGATTCGAATTGTCCTCTAGCTCATGCGCCGCTACAAATCGATAAATCATTATAATTTTCCAAATTATATATTATGTATTCATACGTTGCTCGAACTCGCTCAAATGCTCAAAAAGGCAAGCTAAATCTTACATCGAATCTACCAAGCAGAATAATATAATATTTCGTAAAATTTGACGGAATTCACGACTCGTGAAACACTCTGTGAACCGCAGCACGTCGTGACACGAAAACTACGTAGATAATTCAGAGTTCGACGTGCGGTGATATATCCGAGATTTTTGCCCTACTTTCCTATACTTGTATCCACTAGATCCAAGGTGACACGTGGAGAACCGATATGGCAAGTAAATGGCTG